TTGAAGTTCACAAAGCCTCTGCAGCCCGCGTTGACACCGAATGAAGAGCGTGTGGTGGAGTATGTCTTTTTAGGCCTTCTTTGGTTTCTTTGCCGTTTTTATGTAAATTTTTGAATTTTATTTTAGGTTGAAATGTATTGTCAAATCGGATTTGTCTCCTGTTTCTGTCAAATGGCTTCACAACGGTTTGGAATTAGTTGATAGCCCTCGATTTGAAAAGGTGTTTGTGGAAGAAACTGGTGTTGCCTCTCTTATTATTTCGGATTATAATGATGAAGACTCAGGTTTATACGAATGTGTTGTTTCTGGCTCTGTTATTGAACCTGAAACTGGCGATATGCAAATGAAGACAATTACTACACAAGCTGAAGTTATGGGTATGTCTTCTGCTCTTTCCCTGTTTTCGATTAATTTAATCCATCTAATTTTTTATTTTAGAGGAAACAGTGGTTTTTGAAGTTGATCGGAAAGTTGTAATTGAGGAAGAAGAAATGGAGACGAAATTTGTGCCTAAATCGCCGTTGTTAGAAGTTAGCTCTCCTGTTTTTGAAACGGAACTCGTTCCTCTTGATGTAATTGAGGGCGAAGAAATTTATCTCTCTGCCGTTGTGAAGGGTAAACCTCAACCGATGGAAGTCACATGGAAACACAATGGTGTCGTTCTTCATGCTGATAATACGGACGTTGTCCTTTTCTACATTCCTGAGCAAGGTCTTTGTGAACTTACAATCTCAGAGGCCTTCATAGAAGATGCCGGTGTTTATGAGGTCGAAGCGGTTAATGAGTTTGGGGTTGCAGTCTCGCAGACAGAGGTCATTGTTCGTGCCCTCGAGGAAGCTAGAGAGCCTGAAAGAAAAGACATTTTATTGAAAGAAGCTACTACTGTGGAGGAAGAGGCTCCTTTTAAAGAGGTTTCTATTCCGATTGAAGATGTTGGTGAACAGGCCTCGCCATTGGTGGAGGAAGCAAAACCATCAGCAACGGAAAGTAGGTTTCTGAAATTAATGTTACATGTATGTTAAAGGCTTTTTAATGCTATTTTGTTTAAAATTTCTTAGTTTTGGCGACAACTGAGGCTAAACCTACGCAAGAAGAGCTGGTAGAAAAGGACAAGTTGTACGAATTTACGATTGGAACGAAGGGCAAATCAAGGGAGAAAAGGGAGTATGATGATGATTATATAGAAGCTGGTGAAGAAGGAAAGAGAGAAGATGGTAAGTATTTATCAAGTTATAACGAAGTAAAGTTTATGGGTAATTATATGCACATGAAGCCAACTTATATTACGAGTAACACAATAATATATATTTGACAAAGAATCGGTAATAATTTGTTAGGAGTGTGTTGTGTGATCAGCTGGGTTCATTTTCTGTGTAATGTAGGTGGAGGGGTGGATGAATTGTGTGCAACAGTGTACTATGAAGAAGTTTGTGGATATATTAATGCCTTTGGTAACTTTAATGATTTTTAAGGAGACAGAGTAAATAAGATGTGGCTGTGTGCATGAATTTGATGATGAGGAGATGTACTGACGCACGAACTTTCTTGAAGCTCCCAGTCCTATGAAAACGGGATCGGATAAGACGGATGGTAGGCAGAAAGAGCTTAAACAGGAGCCCACGGTAGCTGCAATTGAGAAAGAGGTGAAAGTGAGCAAAGCGGACTTAGAGGCGCCGGAGGAGGTTGATGGCACGAGAGTACCAGAGACGATGCCATCGTCCGATTCTGTACCCACAGGTTAGTTTAGGCAATTTAAATTTACTGCATATTTTGTCAAATAATTCGATTTTTCATGGTTTCTTTTGTCTTCGAGTAGTTGCATTTAATTATCGTAATAACGAAAACTCGCAGTGAGTTTGCAGATGTTATTTTCATTTAATTGTTGGTTTGCTCTCAAGTATTCATAATATTCTAGCAAAGAAAGAGCCAAAAGACGGAAAGCGTGAGGAAATTGAAACTCCACAGGAGGAATCTTTGAAAGACATTCAAGCACGCCCAGAATCAGAAATCGAGTCCACAGGTAGAGTTTACGTTGTTTCTACAACTATGACCAAGTCCATTTTTCTTATTTTTTGCCTTATGAGCAAAAAAAGTTTTATTATCGGAAATGTTAGAGTTATGTTTAAATAACGCTGTTATCCTTAATATAAAAGGTTTGCTTGCGTAGAAATGCAGGCTTTTGAGGTTAAAAACTTCGTAAATGATTTTCCTTTAACTCTTAGACTTTCCTGCTACACCCATTAACCTGCGGGCTGAGGTTACCCCAAGAAAGGCGCCAAGTCGATCACAATCGGTGGAATTGACTTGGGATCAGCCTGATGGTGGAACCCCAGACGAATACATGGTTGAAATCACACCCAAAGGAAAAGGAAAGTGGATTGAATTTGAAATTGTCAAAGTACCTGACAGAAAACTGACGCTACATACAAAAGATATGGAGGAGTTCACAGACTATGAATTCAGAATAACAGCCCAAAATAAAAAGGGAAAGAGTGAGCCCTCCAAAGCGTCCAATCCGGTGCAGCTAGGTAAGGTTCAAAACTATGCTACTCATATAACAACACAAAGTATTTACAATTAAAAAAGTTAAATCAAGCACTACGTGTAAAAATGGCAAGATTTCGTTATACTACTTAAAAACCCCACAAAATCTGATTTTTTAAAAAATAATATTCGACTAATTTAATAATAGTGTAAACATCAAAACAAACCAGCCATAAAGAAATAAAAAAGCACAAAAACAATCATAAACTGTTTCTTTTAAAGGAATACCCTTGGAATTCCTAAGAGAGTTACCAGACGTTGTCGTCACACAAGCCCCAACAGAGGATGAACAAATCATCTTTGAATGTGAGTTATCAAGACCATCAAGGACAAAGGTGCAATGGATTAGAAACGGCAAACCAATAACAGAAAAACCACCAAGCCACTATCACATCGTTGAAGACAACAATTCAACCATTCACAAAATTGTATTCGACGAAGTGAAAGAAGAAGACGTGGGAGAATATATTATCCAAGCAGAAGATAAAGTATCAAAGGGAAAAATTGACATAAAAAGTACTTATATAATAGCATTTACTAGAATATGATTATAACGCAAATAAAAACATCATGTCAATTGTAGTTGCGCCAACATTGCGCCTGTCGGAGAAGTTCGAGGATACCATCATATTG